ACTACTACTACTACTACCACCACTCCGACTACCACTCCAACTACCATTACGAATAGCACTCCGACTACCAGTCCACCTGCCACAACCGACGACGACAACGGCGATGACGGCTCCTTCTACTCCTACTGCTACTGCAAGTGCTACTTCAAGTGCTAGTGCTAGCGCTATGCTACGGCTGCTGCTCTGCTTTTTGCATGTCTCGGTATAACGATAATTCTCATGGTTCGCTGCTGTGTTTTATTGTTGCCAATCAACTGTCATCGCTCAATGCCGGCCAGTGAGCTCTTCATGATGATCATCCACCGCTTTCAGGTCATGTGCAGCTATGTCGATATACACTTTGATCGCTCCGGAGCAATCCACTTCGCGGCGGTACGCCTCGTCGTTGCAGAACTGAGTGTATTTCGTCAAGACCTGGGTGCAAGACAATGTCGTTGCATCCGGAGCAGAGTAACTCAACAACTACGACATCCAAGACTTCTTGTACTAGTAGAGTAGTGGTGGTTACTAGGAGTCGTCGTAGCAGTAGTAGTAGTACTACTACTACTACTACTACTACTACTACTACTCTACTACTACTACTACTACGACGACTACTAGTATTATTACGACTACTAGCAGTGTCAAGTCATGAGAAGAGCTGCTCCATCTTCGTAGCCGTCGGGTGGAATTCCTTTGATTCCGGTGGAACTCTCCGGCCGCTCCGCCTGTTCGGCACACAAAGCGCAGAGTTTCCGAAAGCTGACGGTCAGGTATAGTCTAGTTTTTGGGAGTATAGTCTAGTATAATATAGTGCATAACATAGCTTAGCATAGCATAGTCAGTATAGTGCAGTATGTATAAGAAAACAAAGCATACACTAGTATAGTATTGTATTGTAACTTGCTGGAAGAGGCAAAACACATTTAGGCGTTAGGGTTTTAAGGTTTAGGGTTTAGGGGTTTAGGGTTTAGGCTGCATACCACGGCTGCCGTTGGAATCCAGTTGGGGGATATCGATTGCATTGAGATCGGCAGGAGCTCCGAAATTCCAGGGATGTCTATGCTCTCAAAAGCCCTGGTAGCTATGCCAGTGAAGCGATTGTCGGTCTAGGGTTTAGGGTTTAGGGTTTAGGGTTGGATATGTGCTATCGGTGGACAAACCCAAAGCCTTCTTCCCATTCACTGGTGGGCTGCTGGTGGGATTCAGAACTGGCTCCTACGGCCCATACAATGCACAACAGTTCGTGTAACCCGTAGGCCATACGCTTTAAAGGCTGAAAACCTACAAGCATTCACTCGCACTAGTAGAACAAGACAGGCATCTAAAGCCAAACATCAGCCTGACACAAGAACCAAAAAATCAACAAGCACCCCTGAACATGACCAACCGCGTGAAGCAAGAGGACAAATAAACCCGATAAATGACAAAGTCGGCTTACATAAAGATAAGCAGTAGGTGCAAAGTAAAAACACCAGTAAGAGACCCAACACTGCATTTCCAGAGATCTGTGCCTAAGGGTTCATGGAACCTTATAGTAGCAGTCCCTGAAACATGCAGTTGCGAAGCTGGGTTGACATCAACATGCAAAGACATGCAAACACGCTCATGCGTCAACCTTCATCTTCATCTCATTCGGGCGCTTGGGCATTCGCTCTTGCCACTGCGGAAGTGAGAATCGGCAACCCAATAAACATTTAAACCCTGATCCCAAAAACGACCTCGAGCCCTAAAGCCTGTCCTTTTGTGATGTCGGTATGGCCAATGACTCTGCCGGGTGGCCAGTTGCCATGGCTCGCGGGTGCCCAAGATAAAACCTACTGGGCTGCACACTGCAAGCACCACTACTCGTACCACCACTGCTGCTGCTGCTGCTACTACTGCAGCTACATAATAACACGAACAATAGCAAAAAAAAGTATAATAGCAATAATGCTCTCAAATCATGACCTGAAGCTTTCCTATTAGAGAGCATGGTGATCCACTCGCCCTGCATCCTCAACGGCTCGCGCCGACGAGTAGAAATCTCAATCCTTCCGGGTCCGAGTGCTCAGCGCTCCTTCGTTTAACAGGCTAGCAGAACGCTGTATTGCTGGGGTGGCGACTTTCTACACGTCACACAACAACTAGGTGCTTGTTACAAGATGTGGGGCCTCCCTTCATTGAAGGGTGGTGTGCTCGCTTTCCAGTGTACTGCAATGTCGATTGTGCACGACACCACTTGCAATTTCTTGCAACACCTCGCGACATGCTGCAATTACTCACCATCCAGTGGCAAGATGTCCCCGAAGAGCACACAAGCCCCAAACAGAAATTTCACGGCCTCCGAAAAAATAGGCCCACGAGCGGAGGGTCCAGGATCGGGCCTGTGATGCAGTGTTCTGTGTCATGGGGTCCCGGAACTCTGGAGGTTCGTCTTTGCCAGCTTGTCAAAAACGGCGGTGCAGCAAGAACCGTCTTGTGACCCCTAAGCCCGAAGCTCACCGCCTCAGTGATGACATGGGCTTTTGAGCTGGGGACCTTGAGCGAAAAGCCTGAACATGAAAAACGAGACACATAAACAGCTCAAAGGTTGTTTTGGCTTCGCCTTCAGCTCAGGCCGTCAAGCTGCGACCGGCTACCGTAGATGTGGGCCAGTTTCGGAGCTTGCCCGGGCCTGAAGCGTGCTCTGCCTGAGGTCCAGGGCATAACACTACTGGCGCGCAGCATAGCTCGACCTAACAACCACTCAATGGATGACCACCGTGTCTTCGACACCGTAGCTATTTCTGCCAGTGGTGTCCTCCGATTGAGCAAGCAGGGAGCGGCAAGGATCAGCACTATTCGGATCCGGGGCTGTGGTAATTATGGTATAGATATAATTAGGAAGCGTAGGGACTAGTATTCGCACTCATATGGGCTCCTATATCATTCGGACTCACAGCACTCCAGTACTTCATACTCGCTCGCGCAACTCAAGTTGACCAGCTCGGGATGATTTACGGCTCGCTTCGCCATGAAAATCCAGCTTTCGTGGGCTCCCCACAAGAAGGAACAAACAGTGATCGTCGCAATACAAAATTGAAGAGTTTTGACCTTCATGACCAGGTAGCCCTGAATCAACATGACGAATATGTAGGATATCACACCTACGGCCATGGCCACAACCGGCAGAGCGCCTGCGCACCATCCCGCCCGCCCTGCGGCCATCATCCTCTGGAAATCGGGCGCGTCGGACTTTGCAACGCGTTGAAAAGCAATAAGGCGCGCAATGGATGTCATGATCGCGAGGACGTTGCCTCAGCAGCTGCAGTCATGGTAGGCTCTGGCTGTGTCGGCTGCAACACGGCCAGAATCCGAGACGCGAGTTGGCAACATAGACTGAAAGAACCTCAGCCCTGTACAAGCCAAGCTGCAGGACATGCTGACGAAAATCAGGGCCTGGTATACGTCGAAGATGGAAACTCCCTCGTCTTGCAACTCCCATCTGCGGTCACGCTCCTCTGCGAAGTCTTTGAGGTCTTTGGAATCGCTCACCGTCGAGGCGAGGCAGGACAGAAGCAGCGCAGAGACCAAGCCGACTGTTGAGTGAATATTGAACTCATCTTCGATGACCTCGTCCTCCGCTGCCTTCTTGATCAAAGTTTGGCTGTTGACACTGTCATCCACCGTTTCGTGGAATCCATTCATGGCAGCTATAGCTGTTCCGATCTCTACACCAACAGTTTTGGTCCGAAATGCGAATAGTCCGCGAGACACTTGTCGCTATCATCACGGTACTACGATTGTGGACAGCAGCAGCCCCCCCTCCTCGCAAGAACTGGGTGCACAGGAGCTAACCCGCCTACATACTCTGCCCAATGCTTGTTGGGCCTGCCGGCCAAGGAACAGCCATCAGGACAACCTCATTTCTGCGAGCTTGCGAACAGTCCGAACCAAGACTTGCCATGGCTGGGTACAGCAACCCTAAACCCTGAACCTAAACCGTTTTGTAGGGAAGGGTGAAGATCTCAACGGCATCACTTTGAAGGCGGGGTTGGCGGTTCATGGTGAAACAGGGGGAACAGGACAACAATGCTGCAAACGTCGGCTATCAGGTCGTCTGAGTATTCGTATTGACTTCCGAAAGCGGCGACATCTACATTCGGAAACTCCGCATGATGACCAGAGTCTGCTGCAAGCGTCTAATCTATTGAAAAACGCGGCACAAGCAGAAGCAATAAAGCCAGACAAACCCGGTATACCTGAAGCAAGCTGAGCGCAGTTCGTCCAAAATTTTCCGCCACATCTGCCTGACACCTGGGAGCGCAGGCTGCAGATCGGACCTTCAGCGAGCTATTGCGACCTCTGTGCAGTGCCCACCGAGTCTTCGGCCCTCGATCAACACCACATCGCTCGAGCCGCAAGGTGCCTGTCAGTGCAGTCTGTCTGTTGGGCCCACCCACCCTGAGGACTAACAAAACTCAGGTTCAAGGCCCCGTCTCGCTGGTCATGCTTTTGGAGAGGGCCAGACATAAGTCGAAACACGTCGTCATTGGGTTGTTCACCCACTCGGTTTCCTTGCAGGTCGCCGCTTCGACCTTTGCGAAGCTTCGGCGAACTTGGATCCTTCCCTCTGGCGAGGAATCGCAGAATCTGCCCCGGCAGGCTGTAGCCAGAGCATGCTGTTTAACAGCTGCGATGCTATGCTGCGCAAGGCTCTAAGGTACAGACAAATGGCTGTTGCATGGCGGACGACATGTGCAAACCGCGAACCGACGCGCCAAGGAACTCTGTAAGAGGCCCAGCGCCAAAGCCGAAGAACGGTCCACCAAGGTGGTGGCAGGCGATCTTCATAGTTGAACCCGAGTTCAAGGCTCTCCAGGCGACTTCCGAGTTGCTGCAGGCAGAAGACCCCTTGCTGGCCTATGCAGTTGAACTTTAGATTTAAATGCCTGAGCGACCCATTGCTCTTAAGCACCTTCCCAAGGGAAAGCGCTCCGGCGTCCTCGCAGTGGTTCATTGCAAGGCTGAGGGTCTTCAGCGCGTGATCAGACATCAAAGCCTCTGACAAAGACACGACATCTTCATCTTGCAGCCTGCAATCTTCAAGGATTAGTTCGCTGAGGCAGTGCCTGTTTGAGCCGTTCCCTGTCAGCCCTTCGGCCAACTTCTTGATAGCAGCGGGATGAAAGTCGACACTGCAGAACTTCAGCGTCCGCATGCTCCGCTTGCACAGGAGATTGCTGAACAAAGCAACGCTGCTCTTGAGATCGATGACCGACCTTCGCAAGTCGAAGCTCTGCAACTTCTTGTAGTCATCGATGAGGTCCGGTAGCTTGCTGCTCAAAGGCATGGGCAGCATGTGCACCGCAAATGTATCAACCCGAAGGGCTTTATCCTCGAAGACCTGCTTCTGCAAATCCAAGACCAGCTTTAGGTCTTCCTTGTGTGTGAATCGGATCTGCTGCTTGTCCGCCATCGTCTGGAACTCTGAAGGCATCATGGGCACTGTGGAGCTTGGCTTCAAGATCTCTGGCGACAAATCCATGCTATGGTAGGCAGCAACCAGGTCGAGCACATTTCTGTGCTCTGCAAGTCTCACAGCTGCTGCAGCTGCCAGAAAAGGAGGCAGGTGCAGAAAAACAGCCCGAGCATGGCCCACCATCACAAGACGAAATGTCATTGCAAGACCGGCCCAGGCTGCTATGGCCAATGCCATGCAAGTCTTGGCAGAAAGAGCAGGACGGCCATGAAGTGCATGAACGACACACAGGCCCAGAGTCAAGACAAAGGAAGATGCAGCCAGAAAAGCTTCGGATGTCGGGGTTGCTCTGCGAGTTGCTTCTGCAGCTCCTGCTTCGAAAAATATGAGGAAGCAACACAGCAAGCACCCGACATGTGGATGGAAGAACCTGTCAAAGCGTGAGAGACAGCCCTTGACCACTTCCCAATGGCCATTGCGGCAGAGGTCGGGGAACCAAGGATCGTGTGTCTCACTCACTGATAGGTCGACTATATAAGGAGCGGCCCATTCGACTTCGACACGGCACCAGGCACGTCGGTTGTACTCCGTGGTGTTAAAGTGGAGGTTGGGACATCGGTCGAAACAGCCTGGACCACACCTCCCACGGTGGTCCCCAAGTTGCAGGTGTCTAAGCGGCACTCTTACCACTTTGCCTTGGTCCCCTTCGCCTGCAGCGACGCTGTACACAGGAATGCCTTTGCAGCCGCAGGTGCCGTAAACAAACTTCTGCAGTCTCCAGAAAGGTGTGCGACAAGGAATGGACCAGACGCCTTCACAAAAGCTTGCACTGGTATTGCAGAAAAGCAGATGCATGTGTTGTGTTCCGCGTCGGAAATATATCTCATCGTGGTCCGAGCGCCTGAACTGAGGGAAGGAAATATAATCGATGAAGAAGCCTACATCGTTCCACTCCGCTCGTGGCCTTGCCTTGATAGCTGAAACGAGCAGCGTGGCCTGAAACCCGAAGGGATCGGGATGCTCACGTGCTTCCCACATGTGGGAAAGCGCGATGAACTTGGTCGGTGTGGAAATCAAGGCGTCTTTAACTTTAGCTGCCTCTTGTCTCCGTGGCCACAGCTCACCTTGTTCGTGCAACTGTACCAGATATGCTGCGCGGACAAACTTTATGTCAGCCCATTTTATGTACTTGTCGAAGTCTGCGCGTGAGCCGAGGACAAACTCCTCCTGACTTTTGCCGGCATCACCTGCCGCACTCATGTGCAAAGCTCATGGCCCTGACTAATTCGCGTGCTTCTGCAGCTGTAAAATCTAATCTCTTCCACTGTGTTAGTAGAGGCGACGGAAAAAGTTAGAACTGCTCGGAAACTGATGTACACAAGAACGCAACAAACCAGGAACAAATCAAGATCTCCTTCTGCTGCGAGATGGTAAAGCCCAAGCATTCACCGGCATGGCATTACCGGCAAGACATGCAAGTTGCCGAATGAGGGGCCGCTCAGCTTCTTGGCATGGAGTGAACAGCACCAAGTTCAGTGGCTGGGAAGGGCCCTAGCAGGACATGCCCACCAAGTCCGGCCTCTCAACGCACGAATGATCAAAGCCTGACCGGAAAAAGGGAACACCTGCGTTGAAGGTCCGAAGGCCCCGTTCTTTTTCTGAGGAGAATGCCGTCATGCGTACTGCCTGTAGCTACCCAAAGCTCTGTTCGCCCATTTAAATTTAGGAACTTCTTGTGCGACCACTTCCGCGCCGCTCGCCAGTTGTGGCGTGATACAGAGCGACACACGAGCTTCGACAACTACAGAGCACTTGCGCAAGCTAACACCGCTGTCAGGGTTCGCAAGGTGCTTGCTTCAAGTCACTCGGTGCATCAGGGAACCTCTGCGGCTTAACAAAACTTTCAAATTCGTGAGGAGTAAAATAAACAACCTCTATTTTTGAACTTGGGGCACGGCAGTTTCGACAATCCTGTGAGCACCCTTTGTGCTCACATTGTTTGCTCAGCCATTTCTCCCCGCACATTGAACACCTCTTGACAGGAGCATAAGGTTCTTGGCGGGCTTGGTACACACTTCTCCAATCGTTTTCTGGCTTCGATCTTGATATCCTTCGCAGGTAATAGTTCACCGCCAGCCATGCAAGTAACAGAACCAGGCCAGCACATTTGTCGATAGAGCTGGGGTCTTCAACAACGCCATCCATGTACTGTAGCATCACCGTTTGCAGCACAATCGCCACTTGAAGGCCACAAGCAAAAATCACGTATTTGTCCGCTAATGTGAAGTAGTCCTTGCGCGGAAGCATGGCATCAAGAGTATAACGGTAAGCCATGACTGCAAGAAAACAAGTGCTCGAATAAGCAAGTCTTCCACTGACATCTGCCAGGGGAATCACCAAAGTACATAGACTGACGATGATGACGAGAAAGACCATAAAGAGCATCGAGTGAAAGTAGAAATCACCTCACAGAGCACGCACTGGCTGCAAGCTTTCTGATGCTTGTGGCTAGCGGCTAGCATTATGCGCACAATTACATTGCCTGCCACACGGTTGGTCCAGAACTGACTTTCAGAAAACAACGCCTTTGCGCTCCAGGTGAAAAACGGCATTCACGCAAGAGCGCTGGATCTGGTACGGGAACTGCCTGCAGTATGGAGCAGCACACAGTGTAAGCTTTCGCATTGCGGTTTGTGGCCCTGTATGGCTTGAAGGATTGTGGTTCCTGGCTTGATGCATCTAGAAGTAGCATGCTTGACGGCAGAAGCTGGTGCAGCACCGGGCCGAGGATCTTGAGAGAATGCACCATGTTTGCTACAACATTTGCAGGCAGCACACCCATACGCCCAAATGCGCTAGCAGTTAAACGCAAGCCCGCCTGTCCAAGTAGCGTGCGTAGACCGTGCACTTCTTCTGAATTTCTTCATCCAGCGTCCACATGTCGCACATCTGCGGGCTGGAGAACCACTTCTTGACCGGCACGAACCTAGGATGTTGTGAGGGTCTGTAGGACAACGAGCAGGACCCTAAATTATTCTTGTCAAGCCGCTGGAACTCGTCGGCCGTTTTTTCGGCTGTCAGCCTAATCCTGCAATGGCACACTCACACGCACACATGTGCACATGCAATGCATGTGCCCACGAGCACATACACACACAGACAAAAAAAAACACGTAAAAGATAAACTACAGAAGCTTCAAGATGGTCCTGCAGAGCTGATGGTCTTTCGGGAAGTTTGTAAGATCGAAGAACTCTTTGAAGGTCGCATCATACTTGACTGTGTAGGAAACAAATCCACCGTTGTCGTTGCACCAAAGCAGCTTTCTGGTCCCGGCCGGCGCCGGGTCATTCTGCATGTTAAGAAAAGAGAATGTGGGAAAGAAGCACTCTTTCCACTCGGGTTCCCTCAAGCTGAGGTAGTCACGTCTGAGTTTGATCTGAGTCTTCTGTTCAGGATCAGAAAGGTCTATGAACTCGATGTCGCCGTTTGCATACATCTTCGTAACCACGACTTCAAGCTGGTGCAAATGAAGCTTTGTCTCGCCGTTTGAGTCACGAACAGTGATGACCGATTTGAAGTTTTTGAGGTCGGGATCCAACCAAGCGAGCTTCAGCATGAAGACCATCCGGAATCTTGGCTTCTGGCAAATCATTTAAGTCATTTCATGCAGTACAGTGGCAAATCAAGTGCAAAGAGCCGGATCATGCAGTCGTGTGCGGCTTCGAAATTACATACGTTCTTGAATAAAGAAAGGCTAGACAAGTTGTGGCTGTTTGCTTGCCACGGAGCTCCTCGCGATGATCATCGACCGATTTCAACTCGTGCCCGACTATGTCGATGTAAACCTTCACAGCCTCTGTGCAATCCACCAGAACGCCACCGTCACGGTCATAGCAGTTCCGGTAGTAATTCTGAAGCACCTTCGCTCTTCCCCGTCAGACTCAAGACCTTAAACCTTAGAGCTCTCCCTAGGATGACAGAGCAGATGCATGATGCCACCCGAATCAACTCAATTCCCAGTGTCACAATACAAATCGACGCATGCGCAATTCAGAGCTTCGTGTGCGCTCAAAAAGTAGAAGGACAAACCACACTACAAAGCCTCAATGCGCAAAGGTGTGTGAGACTTCAACGCTTCAAAGGCTCAAAAACCGGTAAACGCGAAGCACACCCCAGGTTCAGTGGAGGTGCCCCATGGTTATCGTCTCCGTAGCCCTCAAGCGGAAGATACCTCAAAACGGGATCCCACACAGTCTCAGCGCTTGCTGCTTGAATCCTGCCCATGGCGCAGATGCATGGCTTGCGCGGGGTCTTCTATGCAAGTGCAGGAACACCCTTCGTTGTGCAGTGACCCTGCAAGTCGAGAAGACAATCTGCTCCAGCATAACATCTGGAGCTTACTCTGATGATCTGGCTTGTGAGGAACACCGAACAGATCTGGCTTCATTGGCTGTTTCAACTTGCTTTAGCTGCAAATCTCTTGATCAAGATTGAAGTCCATGCTTAGGTTGCAACATAAGCACCAGCGGCGTGACATCCTCAACCAACTTACATGCACATTCCCATTTGGGGTCAGGCACGCAGTAAGCTGCTGAAACGGCTGAAGGTGAATGCTTCGCCCAAGAGGCCGTTGTCCTACGATATACAGGCATGAGAAGGCTTTGCTTCGACCACGAGATGGCTTTCGACCCCAGAAACTCTTACAAGGAAACCCTGGAGCTCTTACAAGGTTCAGAGGTGTGCGGTCATGGGATCGGTTCCTTTCAAGACCTGTTGTGTGGTCGAGGGTTTTGGGCTTTTGGGTTTTTTGTTTTGGGTTTAGGGCTGAAGTACTGCAGGGTACCCCTGCCCCCAGAATGCAGCCTCCGTCTGCTGCAGAAAGCAAGGCCGCCTCTTCTCCAGGCCTCTATATACCTGGCGGAAGCGATGGGTTTCATGGATCAGGGAAGGTCACGGGCTAAGGGTTTATAGGTTTGCAGGTAGGGCTTCCGAACTTTGGCTCCCGGGGGCGGTGGAGATACGTTGCTTCAGAGGTTTCAGGTTTCAACGACTGCTTACCTCGGAGCTCAGAGATTCAGAACTTCAGCTTTGAGGTTCTTCACCCGAAACCCAACGCTTCGTTTTGAAGGCTCTGTTCCGTTTGCTTGCTCGGCATGCGGAACCCCGATGTGACGGGGGAGCCAGGAACCAACACACTGTGGTAGCGACAAAGATGGTGTGAGGCACCCGATGCTGAAAAAACAATATCAGCAAACCCTTCAGCCAAACTGAGGGTTTGGAGTACCAAGTTGGAGCTAATGCCGTTGGCCAGGGCTTCCCCGATTAAAGCCCTACCGGGTGCTTGGGATTTACGGCATCAGGGAGGATGCACTAAGGATACAACAGATCAAGACAACACTGCTATATAGCAACGACAATCCCAGCAACAACGATACCCCCAAACCCCTGAACCGTGGCTTGGCGTACTCGACGCTTGGCAGTTCTGCAACTTCTTGTCGAGGTCCGACCTGATGCAGCGCCCGAGGAAGTCTTTGCGCGTGCAGCGAAAGTTGTTCAAGGCCTTGTTAAGTTTAGAGTTCAGGGTTCAAGGTTAAAGGTTCAAAGGATTGGGTTGAGTCTGGCCTTTGGGGCTGAGAGTTGGGGATTGGGGGATCAGGATTGAAGGCTTCGGGCGCTTGGTGTCCGGATAACCAGAGCATTCGTGACGAAAACTGAGAATCGCCTATCATAGCCAGCAAACAGGCATAGCGATTGCAAGGTTTTCAACCCCGACCGTGAACCTTTGGCAACCCTTCACGCTACACCCTGCACTCGAGACAACATGTCTCTCGAGACTGTAGTGCCGCCAGCCCCCAAACTCCACTTGCAACCCTAAACCCCAGAAGGGACCACAGGTTTAGATCCACAGCTGCCTTTGTCCGGGAGCTTGAGGCTTAACACTCGTCTCCAGCAGATAGCACGTTTCTGGTGGCACTGAATGCTTCAAAACCCTCAAGTAACTCAGCCCCCGACCGGGCGGGCCATGACCGTGAAAAATCACGAGCCCGAAATCCTAAACCTGGGAGAGCCGCCCGTCGTTCTGTTCGTTCAGCCTGTTGTCGCGCGAGATGGCCAAATCCACCTTCCTGGCCAAAGCTACTTCGGCAAAGACAAACTAATTCGAGAACCTAAACCAATAACTCAAGAACAGTAAACCCTGAACCCTGAACCCAAGAGTCCTAAACCCTAAACCTACGAATCTTAGAACCCTAAACTCTTA